TCACCGCTGGGTTTCCTGAGCCGCCCTCCAGGCAAGGGCGGGGATAGGTGGGTCCCTCATCCCCAGAGGCCGGCCAGGCCCAGTTCCAGGAGCACAGAGGAGGAGCCCCTGTCCTCTCATCCTGTTGGATTCCCCACCGAGGCCATCATGGATCCCAAAGCTCCCCAAGTTATCCCAGGGTGCATTCAAGGGCTGCCCCAGCCCCCCTTTAGTTCTAAGAGCCTCAAGGTAGATGTTTGGGGAAAAAAAAAGCTTGTATAGCTCAGAGAGAGAAAGTAACTTGACCCAGGTCACACAGGGAGTGGTGGCAAAGCTGGTCCTGGCACCCAGGCCTCTTTCCTGAGCCTGGGCCAATGTCTGTCCTGAGGCTGCATCTGCTTTTACAAAGCAGAGCCCGGGAAGCAATGCCCACGGTATTTCACTTCAATAATACTCGGACCTGGTGCAGCCAGGGCCGCCCCGGGAACGGGGTGGGAGCCGCCGTGGCCATTTGCAGAGCCGTAAGTCTTTCCCTCTATCCAAATCGTGGGCAGTAATTTAGGAAATTTAATTGAAGGGGGAGAAATGGGGACACCTCTAGCTCCTTGCCTCCTGTTATAATGAGTGAAATACACCAGGCTGTAAAAGGAAATGCTGTCTGAGGCGCCGCTCCCATGCTTTATAGCCAAGTTTTATTCACTGACGTGAACGTAATCGCTGGAAACTCAGGCTGTGTTAACACACATATTTTCACACGTCCGGGGCCCTGCCTTCCTACCTCCCTGGGGCTTGTTCCCCCACCTCCCCGGGTCAGCCCTGGTATTTTCTGGGCATGTCTGTGCCACGCCTGGCTTTTCCCACCAGTTTCAGCCCTCCCATGGCAGATAAGAGTTTAATAGGATTCCATTGCTCCTCTGAGCTCAGTAATAAATTCTGGAAATTAGGCGGCTACATACTGAAGCCATTGTTCCCCCTTATAAATGGGTTCCCTCAAAGCCAGTGACCGAGGGGTCTCTGATAAGCTTCTGTGAAGCCGTGCTCCACATGTTAGTGGTGTGTTAAAAGGTGCAACTCTGGGCTCACATTGTTCATTGTTAGGGGCTGATACATTTAAGTAGTTTCTCCATGAATCAGGCAGCTTAGGTATTTCCCCCCTTTTGGCATTGATAGATGAGCAAAAGGAAGCCATTTAGACAGCACTATATAGGGTGCTGGCCCACACGGTGAATGATTTCCAATGCCTGGTTTAATTTATTTTTAAATGAAATTTGCTATTGATTCTGGATTAAAAGGACAAATCTTACGGCTGTTACCACTGACAGAGCTGTGGCACTCAAGTGACACCTCTCAAGGAGGGGAAGGAGGGTGGCCTCCCTGAGCCAGGGGACAGTGTGGGCTGCCAAGGGAGCTTGGGTCAGAGGTGGGGGGCGGGGAGAGGTCCCCTGCTTGGAGAGAACTTTAAAAAGATCACCTTTCCTGACAGTAATACTCGACATGATGTTCCCCCCTCTAAGCTCCAATTGGGTAATGGAAATAGCAGTGATATTTGCCTCCTGGCATCCACGTGACCACTGATGCTTGTTTAATTGCCTCCAGGGATGGGAGGCTTACTATCTCCTGGAGCATTTCCCGAGTGAAATGAGTGATGGGAGTCACCCACCCCGGTGAGTTCCAAGAGACTGTTTTCTGGGATAGTCTTTATTTACCTCCTGCCCCCACTGGGTTCCCAGCTTCCACGGCGCCTGCATTTGGCAGCTGGGGCAGTGAAGCAGAAAGAAGACAGGATGACACAGGGGAGGAAGAAGGGCTGAGGATTCATCTTTTCACATCCAGCCTCTGCCCCACCTCATCATGCAGCCTGTGTTGGATCGTGGATGTGAATGTGATTTATAAACTGCACAGTGTGATTTAGGTGCTGCAGGAAATACAAATGGGGCAGAATGGCGGGGCGGGAGGGCCCTCAGTGGGGAGACAGAGCACCTGGATTTAGTTCTGTCACGGTTGGCTGTGTAACTCTGAGGAATTCACTTGCCCTCTCTGGGTCTTCATTTCCTAAGCTGCAAAGAGGGCATGTGGAACTAGATGTGCTTAGGTATTATGCCTAAGACCATGGGCTCTGTAATCAAACATATTATGGCTCTACAACTGTCTTGCTGTGTGACACTGGGCAAGACACTTACCCTCTCTGAGCATATTTCATTATCTTTAAGTAATAACAACAGTGATGATAATAATAATTGTCAACACATATCATTTATTTGCCATATGCCAGGCTGTTTTAAGTGTTTTCCATGTAGCAAGTCACTTAACCTTCACAAGAACCTTGTGATGGAGGTATTACCTCTGTTTTATAGATGAGGAAGGTCAGGCACAAAAAGGTGAAGTAACTTGCCTAAGGTCACACAGCTAGTGGTGGCAGGACTCAAAACTAGAGGCCACACCTACAACCACACTGTTCTATTCTACATAGCCTGTCTGTTTTGAGTTTTAAGTGAGATCACTGAGTCCACAGCACGGTGCTGGGTAGACAGTGATGTGCTAACAGAGGCTTAGGGACTGTGAGAAGGCAGCGGGCATGTCTTTCTGTGAAGGACTCAGACTGGACCGTGTCCAGTGGGGACTCAGCTGGATAGAGGGGAAGGCACGTGTGCAAGCAGAGAGGAGGCCGTGGGAAAGGGAAGGACAGCCTGAAGCGAGGGCATGTCCAGAGAGGGAACACGGAGGGAATTTTGCCTGGAGCAGAAGCTGTGTGCAGGAGGTGAGGCTGGGACCTTGAATGCAAACTAGAGAAGTCAAGATTTCTCTAACAAACAAGGCCATCGGTGGGTCTGGGGCAGAGCCGTTACAGCATGAGCCTTTTCAAAGTCACACCACGCCTGGAGGCCTGTCCTTGAAGGAAGCTTCGAGGTGACTGGGTTTATCCCTGTCCCAGACTGGGAGGAGAAAGGACTCCTGAAGGTCAGCCAGTGGGTTAGTGGCAGAGCAGCCGTGTGTTGTTATCCCCCCACCTCTTTTCTCTGCAGCCCCCAAGCAATCTCTTATTTTTCTCTTCTTTTTCCCTGTCCTCTTGCTATGCCCCTCTATCTCCAATCTGTGGTTTAAGAGAAGAAAGCCCTGAATCTGCGCCCCAGTTTTGCCACTACATTCTCCTGGAGAGGCCTCAGGCTGGGATTAAAAGAGCCGTGGGTTTCAGTCTTAGCGCTGCGACGTGATCTTCAAGATTCTTAGTTGCTTCCTCTTTGTGATGAGGGCAATGGAGCCCATCTCAAGGGAGAGAGGCTCAAATGAATTGATGCGAAAAATAAGAGAGTCCAAGGCACCTGGCCATCCTTAGGTAGACTACATTCCACCTCTGTGTGGGAAGAAGTGAGAAGTGAGTCAATCTGGAAGAAGAAAAAAGAAAGGAAAGGAAGAAAAAGAAAAAGGCCTCTTCCTCCAGTGTCTGTGGGCCCAGAAAGCTGGGGAGACAGGGAGGATCTGTCCGTGGTGCTGCAAGGGCTCAGCGCCGCTGGTCCCGCCGGGGCTGTCATTTGTGTTGAAACACGGTATTTGTAAGGGCGCGACACTTCAAGGCTCTGGCAGTTTGAATGAACTGGATGTTGGCTGGCAACCCCAGGCCCCATCCGGTGTGACGCCCTCCATGACACTGGAAGGGGGAATGCGAGGACAGAGTCAAGACAGAGCAGGGTGGGGGACTGTTCCTCTGGCTCTAACCCCATTCTCAAGCTTGTGGCTCTGTCCACAATGCTGCTCACAGGATGCCCCTGTGGTCTGGGAGGGGGAGCGGGCATGTGCGGTGCTGAGCTCCGCGGTCGCCGGGGCGGAAACCGGTAGTTGTGTCCACGGCGTTGAGTTCTGGTCCCTGAGGCCTCAAGACTGGTGGCCGGGGCTGGCGCTGTCCTCCTGCGTTGTGCTGAAACCTCCGCGGACACTGCCGCTCGGGAACGAGGCCTGGGACAGGACAAGGGATGGGAGAAGAAGGGACCTTGCCCGGGCGTCAGCTACCTCGCCCTGACTCGCTATGGGGCCTCGGAGAAAATACTTCTCTTATTTAATATGCTTCCTCCTCTTTTCAATGGGGCCGTAAGTCCGCCCTGGTGTCTGCACTGAACGTCTCTCCCAACAGCCCCGGTCTACCTGTCAGGGGAGGAATCGGAGGATCTAGTTGGACTCCTAATGGGAGGGGCTCCGTCATCCCCGTCCCCGCCCAAATTCCGTCGAGGCGCAGCGGCCCCAGGAAGGGAGCCCTTAGGGCCCACGAGGGGGCGGCCCAACCCACTGCGCTGGCCCAGCAACTCCGTTAGAAGGAGCCCCAGCAGCTGGCCGCCTAACGCCCATTACACAGACACAAACACTGAGTCCCAGAGAGCGGACCACAGCAGTAACGACCACGAGCTCCCCCCATGAGGGCGGCGTTGTGCTAGGCACACGCGATTTCGTAAATCCTCACTACGACCCTTGGAGGAAGCTGTTGTTCCCATTTCTCCGATGAAGACCATGAGGCAGACAGGGGCAGGCGCCCGAGCAGGGTGGCACCGGAAGCCCAGGGCTGCGGCAGGACTATCACCAGGCCCCCCGGGCCCCAGCCCCGGCCGGGACCCCACCTCCCCTCCAGCTGGACCGCCGCCTGCCCCCCGCCCGCGGCGCCCGCCTGCCGGCAAAGTTAGGAGTCCCTCTCCGCGCGCGGGTCTGGCGGCAGGTGGCCGGTCCCCTTCCTTATCCCGCCGGACAGTGCTGCTGCTTCTGGAGGCAGTTGCTTTGTGCTTTGCGGGAACCGGGTGCGCGGGGCCGCTCCCCGCGCCGCACCCCGCCCCCTCCCTGCCCCCTCGGGCGGGGGACTCGGCGGGTACCGCTTTAAAAATCCCCGGCTGGGCAAAACTTTGATGATAAATCAGGCGGCAGATCCCTCCGCCACCGCCTCCTCCGGCGGGAGGGCGGGAGTGGGAGGGAGGGGTGCGGCGGCACGGCGCGGCGTGGCCTTCCGCGCAGGGGAAGAGTCCCGCAGTCGGAGGCGGCCGGCTGGGCGTGCGCTCGCTACCCGCGGCCGGGGCTGCACCGGGGCCGGGCGAGGGCTGGGGCCGGGTCGGGCCGCGTTCAGCGGACGAGGGGCCGCGGTTGCAGCCCGGCAGCCAGGCCGCACCCGGCAGGGCACGGCGGACGCGGGGTCTGCGGTGGCCTGAGCCCCGATGTGAGGCGGCGGCGCCCCCGGCCGGAGCGCACACCATGGGAGCCCCGCTCGCGGGGGCGCTGGGCGCCCTCCACTACCTGGCACTTTTCCTGCAACTCGGCGGCGCCACGCGGCCCGCCGGCCACGCGCCCTGGGACAACCACGTCTCCGGCCACGGTGAGTTCGGTCGCCGCCCCCGCGGACTTCCCCACCAAACCCCACCCGGGCTTCTCCGCTCCAACTTGGCGGTCCCGGGGCTCGAACCTGCGCTGGCCGTGGCAGGAGTTCCGGGGCGCCCTCTGCCGGGTCCCGGGACCCGCCCCGCACCCTGGCCACTCCTGCGGAGGAGCGGGCACCCCATGCGCACCCCGGACGCTGCTCTCCCGGAGAGCCCCTTTCTCCCCCCATGCCCACTCTCGCCGACACACACACCTCCACGGCCACACAGACATTCACAGCCACGAGCACGCTCAGAGCCACACTCACTGCTTTCTCACACTGACAACTCCTACCTACCCTTGCACATCTCCAGACACCTCGGTTCCTGCTCCTCACTCATAAGCACTCACTCTTATGCCCACTACACACACACATCGACACTACGGCTGGTGGGCTCGCACCCTGCCAGCTGGCACGCAGGCTCACACACTCTGCACAACTCTTGCCTGCCTGCCTGCAGACATACTGGCAAATACACACACACACTTGTGAACACACTTTGCTCACCCACCTCTCTCTGCCCATCTGCCTCTCCCCTTTGTGGATTTAAACCCACAGCTACCCTTGTCCCCTCGCTCTCCACACTTGTCCCTTATGCCACTGGGAAACCTAGGGGACAGAAGACCCTGCATCTTGACGACTGGTAGCCTGGGGCTGCAGCGGCCCCTTAGGGTAGGTGCCTCTCAGGGACCGAGGCTTGGTGGGAGCCCCTCAAAGATACTGAAATAGTTGGGACTGCCACTTCCAGCCAAAAGAATGGAAGGGAGAAAAAGATACTAGATGGTTTTATCTGCCTCTGGGGGAGGGCAGCAAGCCCCGGCCCTTCCTCTCTAGGGTACTGCCTCTCACCACCGTCCTCAGCCTCTGAGAACTGAAACGTGAGACGTCTCCGCTCCAGCCACCGTGGGATCGTGGGATCGGGGGAGCAAGCACTCCCAGCACGGGTTGCCTGAGTGCCAGGGCTCCTTCCAGCCCCAGAGGAATCCAAGTTGGCAGCAGAGTTGGATTGTCTGGCGCTGACAGCTGTGGGGGCCCCTGTGCCCTGTGAGCCAGACTCCAGTATGGGGACCAGGGCATTGATAAAATGGAGACCCTTCCTCCACCCATCCCTTCCTGGCAGAGGCCCCCAATCCAGTGGGGGAGGCTGCAACACCAGTGTTGGGCACTGTATGCCCAGAGCTGGGGTGAGGTTTGAACAAAGGGCAGAGAACTGCTTGATTTATTTTTATGGGACAGAGTAAGCTCTGGGACGGGGGCGGGGAGTCGGGGGATGGGCACAGATAATCAGAGGCAGCTTTACTGGGGTGTGAGGAGCGAGCCGGATTGCTGCAGGGGGCATGGGGGGCTCCCAAAGCTCTTCTCAGGGTCTCTGCTTTTTGAGCTCTATGATTCCCTGCACCCTCTGCCTTACCACATTTGACAGCAGCCACTTGGTATATCCTTCTTGCACCTTCCTATCCTTCATCTAATTTCTGCCAGTGTGGAGGAAGCAGTGGTAAACAGCAGAAGGGTTATCCCGATCCTCAATTTACAGGTGAAGAAACCAAGGCTCAGAGAGAAGGGACTTGCCCAAGGTCACACGGTGGCTGCGTGGCTGAGCTGGGACCGGCCCCAGGATCTGTGGGGAAAGACAGCGCGTTTTCCAGGATATTCATCTCCCTGTCAGATTGCCTCCCACTCACAGGAGGGAATTCCTCCTTCCGTTCCCCTCCCGGCTTCCTCAGCGTCTTGGCACAGTTGGAACTTGCTCTAGAAGGGTTTTCCAGGGAAGGGCTTCCCTGAGTTTGTGGTTCCGAGAGGTAGAAGGACGGGCTTTGAGGTTTATGATCTCCTGTCCCCGGAGCACCAGACCCCCAGGATTTGGATACGACTCTCATTCCGGAGGTGGTGCCCTGTAGCAAAGCAGGGTTTGCTCGTCATGTAGCAGTGTCTGCCTGCCCCCTGGTGCTGGGTGCGCCTAGGGGCACAGCTCTGTCCCCTCTGGACCCTGGAGAGGTCAGCTTCGTGGTCCAGTGGAGGAGGGGCTTCATGGAGAGGATGCAGCACTGACTGCTGGTGACCCTGGATGTGGCTCTGGGCAAATGAGTCACCCCTTTGGGCTCCTTTTGTCCCTCAAGAAATGAGGAGGCCAGGCAACTCTGCAGGGGACAGACTGCATTTCCCTAACATCGCAAGGTTCAAAGTCACCAAGTGGTAGCTGCGGAGGAGCCCATGTGGTTGCCCCTCTGCAGGGCCAAGCGCCTGCCACCACAGGAAAGGTTTGGAGCCACTCACTTAATCACAAAAAGAAACTGTTATTAATGATAGTGAGACGCGGTGAATAAGTGGGTCATGCCTAATAAGCCGTTTGTGTTCAGGAGGAGAATACCAATTTGATAAAAGCTGTGTGTGCTGAAAAAGCTCAGAAATTGCTGTGTAGCAGATTGGAGCCTGATCGTTCCATTATTCCTAGGCTCCACGTGTCCTCAGCTGATTCAGGAAATGTGGTGGGGTTAGGAAGGTGTCTGTGTGGCCGGTGCGGGGTTGGAGGCTGGACGCAGGGGCTCCTGGGGAGAGGCCCACGACTCCAACAGCGTGCTGGCTGCTCCCCTCTCTAGCTTGATCAGAGCCCAGCCTGGCAGACAGGCTGATGCCTCCTTCCTGCCCAACCTGGGGCTTCTCACAGGGAGAACCCGTCGTCAGATGGGTCCACAAGGACATCTGTCTCGCTTCCCATCTCCTTGCTACTTCCCTTCAGCCCACTTTGCAGAAGGCTTTTCAGAGGCGCGAGGAATGAATGGGGAGTGAATGGAGCATGTCACTTAGGGGGGCGTCGGGAATCTGGAGGCTGGGGTGGTGACGGCCAGTGTCTGCTCCTAGTAGGTACTCAATAAATAGCAGTGTTTTGATTTTTCCTTATCAGAAAGGGTTAGCTCACTGCCATGGGCACAGCAAGGGTAGGAGGAAAGGGAGTAATATTATGAAACACCTACTGTGTGCTAAGTGCTGACAAACCCTGCCAGTGTTAACTCATGGACACTGACATTATCAATGGAAGGCTGGTATTGGCCATAAGAGGATCCCGAGGTCCAGAGAGAACCAATGACTTGCCCAAGGTCACTGAGTCCGCACAGAGGGCTGGAGAGCTGTGCCGGGAACGAATGAAGGTGTGTGTGGCAGATCTGGGCCTGCCTCCTCCGGGACGGCCTTGGGGTGGGCTTGGCAGGTCACGTGACAGGACTTCTCCCCCTGCACAGTCCCATCCAAGCGAGCTCCCTTCCAACTCCCCAGGGAACTGGTGACACAGTGGGTTCCTCCAACAGGAACCAGCTGCTCAGAAAGGTGGCAGGACCTTGCTGAGGCCACATGCAAGTGAGAAAAGTCAGCTGGGTTGGACTTTTCCAGCCATCTTTCCAGGACTGTCCAAGGCAGGATCTTCGTGAGGATCTTTGCAGACCCCCTGCCCTGGAGCCACCCAAGGAATTTATTAAATGCAGGTGCCAGGGTCTCCCCAGACGTGTTGGCCAAAATGATTATTGCTAGAACCTTGGAATCTGCATTTTAATACACTTCCCAGATAATTCTCCTGCAGCCTGGAGTTTGGGAGCCACCGCCCGAAGGATTCGCCCAGACCTGACGAGACGTGTAGGGACGGGAAATTGTCCGGTGCCAGGTGCTGCTGGTTTGATCTGGTTTTGCAAGAGGGGGAGAGGTCCAGGCTGGAGCAGGTGTGTGGACCCCGAGAGGAGATGTTTGTTACACTGCAACACACATCTATCCTCCCACCCCGCCCCACCATACACCCATACACCACACACACACACACACACACACACACACACACACGCCAGCGCCTTCAATTATTAATACACCCCAGTGCAGACAAAGATCCTGACTTGGCCTGTGCTTTGTTCATTGAGTGATTCACTGTTCTGAGGTTTTCTATTGCCAGGAGGGAGCAGTGGGGTGCGGGGCAGGGGGAGGGGGCCACTGGGCCCTTTGGCAAACAGCCTGTGCACTGAAAAATGACTGTGGCTTTCTTGTGTTCCTTGCCGAACTGTTGGTATTGTGCTGTCAATAAGCTGGCTACTTTGGTGGCTGCAAGATGGAGAGAATTGAGTACTGTCTTCCGAAGGTTATGATGTTAAAAATGTGTCCGCCGTTGTCTCGGGTGTTGGTGATTATTCTATCAATTACGCCCGTAAACACTCCACCTTGGGCTGAGGGTTTCCCGGCCTCCTGTGGGGAATTGGCCCTCACAAGCGCTTTTCCCCGAGTCCTTCACACCAATTGGTTTTGACACCTTGCCTATCAGCGGCTCCTGTGGCCTTTCTCCAAGCAAAGGGAGCTGCGGGCGGCCAGCAGCGTGGGGAATTCTGCTCATCGCCACGGTGACAGCCTGGCGTGGGGAAGTGTCCTCCTGACAAACAAACAGACAGGGTCAGGGTCGATGGGAGAGTGGTCCCCTCCAGCCCAGCAGCTGCCAGGGAAGGAGACAGGCGCTTGGAATGAATCACCAAGGCTCGGACCCAGCCAGCGAGGCCCCGTGGACCATGTTCCTCCACCCCTTTCACAGGGGGGAAGACCAAGGCCATGGGCAAGAGAGCATCTGCCCCAGATTTCCTGGGAGGTATTTGGCTTTGGAAATCACCTCATCTGTACCAATAGGGAGAGAAATACATGGACATAAATGTTGAAGACTGATTGTCAGGCAAGGGCCTTAAATGGCATCGTCTCATTTGACCCTCAGAAGAACCCTAAGAGGAGGGCACTTGCCCTGGAGGGGAGGTTAAAAGGCCGGCCCAAGGTCACGCACCCAGCAAGTGTAGGATTCGAACCCCGGAGTGTGGCCCCAGCGTCTGTGCTCACAGTGCTGTTTCGTTCCAGAGACACAGGGGAGAGGTGGGAGGATGCGGTGACCTTCACGTTCCGCACGGCGTGTGGCAGGGGAGCAGCGGAAGTGGCAACCCCAGACCAGA